GATGACTTATTCCAAATTCCGCTATCACTTATCCTTCCATTTGTTCCAAGGTCCACAAAAATAAATCTTAACTGTGCATCTACCAAAGCCAAGAGCACAATACTAGAGTATCCTTTATAGTTATGGTATAGTGACCCTGAGGATAAAGGTGGATCAATTCTGATATGTTTTCCATCCATGGCACCTATACAGTTGTAATAATTCCACCTAGTGCCATAATCATATGCAACAACTTTCCACTCTTCCTCAGATTGTGGCATTCTCACATACTGATCTTTAAGAACTTGATAAATAGCAGAGCAAACTTCTTTTACAATACGAGATATAGTACTCTGACCAATTCGAAAAGAAAGGCGAAGAGACTCTTGAGATTCACCTGCAAAAATATAATAGTTGTTACTTCATGTTCCACAGATACTGTACTCTCACTTCATTTGCATTTTTGTAGGTATACCTGTTGCAAGATGCCTTAGTGTTAATGAAAGCCTTTCTGAAGGTGGAATACTCTGTCTCATATCAGTATTCTGCTTCTCAATAAGTGGCGTCACTTTCTCCAGCAAATACTGAAAAGGCTCAGTGTCCATACGCAAGCATCTAGGAGTGTTAAAATATCTCAGAAACAGGGTTTTGTAATTTAAATAATATATTTTACACTCTGATTATAATTACCTTCTAAATCTATTAGGATCCTCTAATGCAAGTTCAAGGAAGAGGTTATGGTGCATACCTCTGTTATCTCTTCGCAGTAAATAAGGTTTCACCCACACTGATCGGTGGCCTCTCTTCATTTTTTCTAGTGCGATGATAAAATATAATAGAGCACACATTTTTTGTCTTCGATTTATTTCATTGTAGTAAAGTCTCTTTCCTGACATGTTGTTTTGGCCTCTAGTTTCGTTTCAATAGTAACTGGCAATCGAATCGGCACCTGCTAGTGTGATTGGAACCAATCGTCCCGGCTCTTAACAGACAACCGGTAACCGTAATCGGCAACGGCACGTGTGATACGGGCTTAAAGCGTATCACGGGCTCTCGACTGCGTCGACCGTGTGCTAGGAAGACGATAACCTGTATCTTCAGGTTGCGTTTAGCGTTTCTAATATATATATATTCTTCTAGTGAACAGTACACACAATACATGTATACACCGAAATCGCGGGAGCGATGGAAAATGAACGAGCAATCGGGCTGCAACCACAAATAACAAACGACAATCATAGATGACTGTCTCACGTAGATGCAACTGAAGTCGCTCACATCAAATGCCATAGGTGATACAGCGCCCCTTCCGGCATCGGCATAGGTGCCGTCCCTGTCCGTGTGAGGCGCACGCACGCAAACGGGCGGGTGACTAATCCGATCGTCGGACGACCGCGGCACGACTTTCGGATTGGTCGTTCGCTTGTTGTGTGCGTGCGCCTCGCACGGATGGGGACGGCATTATGCCGGTGTACAGTATCCTCCCTATCTTTTTCTGCGCTGCGTTCCAAAACACCATCTGAGTGCCCTAGTGTATCGTTTTATCTTTTTTGCTCACCAAGTGACAAACAAGGATGGGGTGATCCATTGGGACACTCGAGTGACGTTTCCGAACGCAGCTGTGCATGACCACGTGTTGCGTACATCATCGTGCACGATAGTCAAACATGACAATAAAATACGAACACGATCACGTACACTTCACCACGCAGGTAAACTGGTCGGATCGCTTCAAAGATCAATCGATACTTTGAGGAAAACCGCGGTAATTGTCGAGGGGGGTCCGTTAGGACCGTCAGTAGAGTCGCGGCGGCTTCAGTCGCGCGGCGGCATGATTGATACGAGTAGAGTCGTCTAGCGGCGACATCGATGTCGACGGCGCGGTCTTGGCGGCGCGACGCTTTGATACAGCGGAATCGCGAAAAACGGTAACATCCGTCGCGACCGGGGTCGGCAGACTGTTTGATTCGGATCCGACCAATGAAAATTGGGGAAAGAAGGATTGACGGGTATAAAAGGAACCTCGTCCATGGGACGAGCTTTCAGTCGAAATCCGAGCTTTGTCGAGATCAGTCTTCGCGCATCGATCCGAGTCAGTAAGATATAGACTTCGTGTGGTGAAGCGACTCAGAGTAAACGTACTCTCAGGCGTTGTCGATGTGCGTGGCGTGTTCACCGATAACCGACTCAGGGTGTACACACCCCCAGGCGCAGTTGGTGACTAGCGACTCAGGGCACACGGGCTCCCAGGCGTAGTCGCAGAACATTGCGTTCGAGAATAATTGCGTACACTGTGTATCAGAAATTGTGAACTGTACATGTGAGAGATTATGAAGGACAATAAACTATTGTGAAGCGTAAACGCAGTGTGGACCTTAATCCGTTCACGCTGACAGAACACCACGTTTTATAATATTTCTGGAATCACTCGACTGTAACATAACAAAAATCTAACTAACGCTTAATTAATAATAAATATTGTGTGTGTGTGTGTGTGTGTGTGAGTGTGTGTGAGTGTGTGTGTGTGTGTGCGTGCGCGCGCGCACACACTTTGCGATTACTATATATGTACAGTTATATTTTATACTATTCCTTTCTTTCATGTTTTACTATAATAAAATTCGAAATTGTTATAATTTATAGTAAAAAGTTTCATTACTTCTCAGAACCATACGTATATAGTTCATACTACTATTACTGTGGTAAAAGTTACTATAAAAATGAATATCTCAACTATAACTTTTTTACTATCGAATTATAGTCAATTTTATCATCGATTTTTCTATCACTGTACAGCAATCAGTGACGTAAAGATGACTGACATTAGCCAATCCTGTATAAATCCTTTAAACAGAAACACGTACAAATTAATTGGCATTGTTTCGTACAAGAAACCTGTAACAACAAGGAACATACAAATGGGACACTATACTGCAGTCTGCTTAAGAGCGGGAACATGGGTGGAGTACAACGACTTAGAAAAAAAAGAAAGATACATCAAAGAAAATGCAAAAATAATACCAGCACTATTAATATACGCTAAAAAAATAAGTCTCCTGAACTTTGTTTTCATTAATATATATTAAACATATATTAACATACACACACAACCTAGTATACAAGAAGGGTCGAGGGTAGTTTTTGAGCGAACGACGGGGGTACAAAATCTGAAACTTATATTTTCGCGGTACAAATGATCCCTAATCGATTCTATGAGCAGCGATTGGTTCTGTTCGTGGAAAAGGATACTTTACTCTGGAGCTTAATAGGGCTGAGTTCACTGGGGGTTGTTTTAGCAAAATGGATAAATGTATTAATTTTCTTTTTATGGTACATGTTCGAGATTCATTTCTGAATCTCGGTCAGTTCGTCACCGGCGTGATGGCAGCATCAGCCGGGTCAGATCGTGCAGCGCCGTAGGAGCGCTGCGCGCGCATGCCCGATCGCGACGCGAGGCGACCGCGCTTCTTCACGCCCGTTACCGGCGCTTTTTGGCTCATAGCAACCGTACAACGTACAAGTGTCTTGTAGTGCTTAAGATTCTTAGTGTGCTCTCGTGGACTTTTCTCATAAAAGAATAGACTCAGTGCGGACACGTAGTGAACTCAGCAGTGCGACTCAACCCTGACAGCTCGGGATACAGCATCACCGGCGGCTCAGGCTCACCACGCATCGCACGCCGGCGCCGCGTGGACACGGCTCACGGGTATCTACACCACGAGGCCGGTTCTCGATAAATAATATCGATCCGTGCAAGTGAATAAAGACTCCTCACCCACCGTTAACTCATAGACTGCTCAACTGTTAGCATTTTACATTTATTAAACGGACCACACTGTATTTTACTTAAACGCCCAGAGTGTACGATCACGTGATTTTCTACCCTCTAACGCGTGCATCCGTTCCTCGAGCCTCTCACCGCTAAGTCCTCTCAGCCCTGCTTCCAACCGCAGCGGTCCAGCGAGCTCTCCTAACAAGAGTCGCGAACAGTACAAATTAGTACAAATTCAGTTCTTTGTTTTTCTGTCTTTGGTTTCCTTTTTTTTGTTTTTTTTGGGTCCTGCTAGCTTAATATTAAGGTAGCAGCGCCATGGATTTTTTCGAAACGGCACGAGGTACAAAATTATTGTGAGTGGTACAAATTAGTACAAAATGAGTACTAAATAATCCGATAGATCTAAATGATTTCTGCTGATTTGGTCCTTCTAGCTTAGTGGAGGTCGAGCTGTGAGCTTCAGTATACACTCCCCGCTCGCCCCTCACCGCTCGCCCCTTGCTGCGCATCGTTTGCCGCTCGACGCTCGGCTCTCGCCCCTTACCCCTCACCCCTCGTCCTTTACATGTGGTCGAGCGTTATCATGAACCCAGTGAGAACACTAAAGTCAAATCGACGTCGAATCGACGTCAATGGGGTCGAAACTGCGTCCCTACCGTCAGTTTTCGAAAATAATTGAAAGTTTCGGAACATTATTTTTTGTATTAAATTACTACGTTCAACGTTGTGAATACTTTTAACACCTTATTAGAGAGAACTGTCAATTGTCAAGTTTCAGTTGTTTGGTGGAAACGACGTCATAACAATGTCGAAACGACGTACATAAAATCAAACCTGATAAAACTGAAATTAAACAAATATTTTTTTGTTCTCCCTAAACGGGAACGTCATCAACTTTTTGGTCATTTAGCGTAAAGTGAATTATTTTTCAATAATTTCGTATCTCATAAATCTCAATACTTTAATTATACAGGGTGTTAATTAAATAGCGCCCACTAATAGTATAGCGTTATTCCTGACTAAAAATTGAGTCGAAAAGTCCTGAACCATTTTTTTCTACAATGCTCAACGAAGCAGTACATATCGAGTA